ACCCCCGGGACCTTCCAACCGTGCATGTTCTCCATCTTTGAACAACGTAGATCACCACAGCTGCTGCAGCACCATTTTGAATCAAATAATCGGCATAGGCTTACACATACAGCACATACAAATTCTGGAATCGTGCACCATACGTGCAGCTTGTATTTTCAAAGCAGGTAATCTACACCGTGAAAAAATGCAGATACTGCACTACACAATTACAAAGATAAATCCTCTCCCCAATAAATGATGCTTTAAAGTTTAATTTTATTTTCTTAGGATATTTCTTTTTCAAGTATATTGCAAAACTGGAAACATATAAAAATGCACACCCACCAAAATCTATACGTTTTGGACTATGTACAGCCTTTAGCCCTCAAAATTTCCCTAAACCCTAAAGCAAACAGAACAAATTTCAACAGCACAACGGAATCAGAAACTGAAAACCAACCATCATTCATTTAAAAACAGCAGAAAAGGCACACGAGTACACAAAACCCACCTCTCCCACAACATCTTCCTTACGGGAATTTACTTTAGTTCCCTCTTTGATGTAATTACCACACGTCCCACACCAAATACTCATAGGAAGCATCATCCGCACTTTCTTCTGTTGGTTCTTGGGTTGCCTCCGACGAGGAATCTTCGCCGGATCGAAGTCCGGCGATTAGTATTTGTTCAAAACCTTCCGTTCTCCCATCTTTCTTTCGGCTCAATAGAACACCAATAGATGCTAAAATCTACACAACCATCTATGCAACTCGAAGTGCTTACAGGAACATTGTGATGTATTCAGGTTCACATTGTGCATCACGTTAAACGTTTTCCCATCAATGTCTCTGATCGTAAACTCCATGCAACCGTCATTTTCAGAATAACTCATAACTCGACATTTGAAACACGCATCACAAATTTCAGTTTGCACACGATAGAATATTATCGTCGTGTACACATTTAAGGCACACTTCTCAATCATCAACGGGGTTTTTAGATCGGCTAGATGGGTTTCACAATCGTTTTGTAACTTCATTGATGTGTTCCTTTGTGCGTCCATTGCACTATCAAAGTGTAACAAGAACTCGACCAAACTAGAATGACTATTCGTAAAACTATTAAACCAATTATTCTCGCTTTTAGACCTAGACGTGGTCCTCATCGACCCACTCATCCCAACATCCCTAAAGTAAGCAGGTATCCAATGCTCCTTTTTAGCATATAAATCATTAAACCTGCTATGGGTGTCCAGTGAACAATCCTTCATAACCGAAGCCCATTTAGTTTCAAATTCATCAGATTCTATAAGCTGACACCAAACAATTTCATTGACTCTCCGTTTGAAATTGGTATCATTATTCAAATCATGGCCGACTTTATCATACTGTTTGTTCATTATATGCCACGTACAAAAATGATGCTTGGTACTAGTCAACACCTTGGTGAAAGCAATTCCAATCGAAGGGTCCTGGTCGGTGATCATGTAGTTGGGCTCTTGAATCATTGCGTATTTGAAGTTCTTCGAACACCCACACGTATGAACCCACGTCTTCTTTTGATATCAAGGCGGCTGCAAACGTCACACATTTGTTGTGGTTGTCTATCCCGGCAAAAGGTGCAAAAATCATATTATACTTACAATTTATAACCATATAATCAACAACACATATTAGTACATAGTGTCTGTATAATGCACAAGTGTCATGTTTGATACTATGTTGCACATATCATATTAGTGCGAGATTGTTTTTACCTATTGGTGCGGTAGGTTGCGCCGAATGATACGACATCTCCAAAAGACTGCCACTTCTGCATTTGAGCTCAATTGGTTCCACATTTTTAGCATCAAGGGCGGCACTGTAGTTTCGCCTCGATATTGGATCAGCCCAGAAAAGCCTTCGTAAGCAGTGTTCGTCATCCAACTCATAGTGGAAATAGAAGGCTGAGCTATTTTCTTGCCATTTATTAAACTTATCGACCACCAACTGAGCATCAGCGCCTACAATGAACACAAGGAGTTCCCTCTTGAAATTTTTAAAATTTACATCGGTGGCACCAATATTTGAATACCCTTCAACCATCTCCTTGTACAGCTTGTACGACTTTAAGGGCCCGATATTGGCTTTAATACAACTGAGGACAAAACTTTGATGCACGATGGACATGTTTCGATTGATCTTCAACTGCGATCTGCTCTCATCAGGTATCATGGTGTGGTTATGTTTTTCCTCAAAAAGCTTAACAACATATATGTTACGTCTGTCGAATCGTATTATAATTTGGGCGTTGCATCCCACCCGGTTGGATACTCTACGTCTTCTTACACAATTTTCGTTTGGCGCCGGTTGGCCTGTGTTTGTGTGTTGTTTGTAGCCTTCGCGTGATCACCCCAAGTACTTACAAAGTATCGTTTTATTCCGTGCTTTAACCAACGTGTTGTGCCTAACGTCGAATCCCACGCTAGAAGCATACAGTTGGTGGAACCCGACTGCTTCACTGAAAGCTTTAAATCGTTGTCCATTGTGAGGCTTATCCAATATTTAGTGCCCCCAGGTGATATCAAAAGTCGATGGTTCTGTGTTCTGTCAGTCGTGGCTCGTTCTGAAACAAGATATGATAGAAATAACTCACTATTAAAGTGCATATTTATGTTGAAGAAAGCGCATTATATAATATAAATTATGCACTTTAGACTAACTGGATCACATGAAGATGCTAAAATCATGCAACTAATGACAGAAAGTTCATATCATACCTGTTTGGCTGGCGTTCAACTCCATATGTTGCAACTGTATTTTTTAAATCACGGGGTGAAAGGTCGAATAATGGAATCTTTGGTAGCCCGATTGGCTGGTCTTGTTGCAATTTAGACCCCTAAAATCCACACATGATTACTGGTTGTAGATTGGAAATAATATAATAATAATCGAAATACATTACAGATTATGATTAATGTTCAACATACATGATATGTGTATTGAGGT